AGGTTTCTGTAAGCATTGCGTTCTTTTTGCGAAAACAGAATCTTCGAGCCACGGGGGTCTCAGAAAGCGAGGTGTACTCATCACTCAGCCGCTGAACAGGTTCAAGAAAGCAGTCGACATTCTCAAGAATCACGCTCTCAGTGAGTATCATCGCAGAGCCAGTGAGAGCGCGAATGACTTTCTTGAGTGGCATGGAGACCGAGTCAATCTCGATATCAGAAATCGTTTAGTGAAAGCCCGAGAAGAGCAAGTTGTGAAGAACCGCCAGAGATTGATACCCATCGTGAAAACGATACTGTTGTGTGGTAGACAGAATATACCCCTGAGGGGACACAGAGACAACGGACTTCTCGATTCGGGCGGAGAAAACGCGAACGACGGAAATTTCCGTGCGCTCTTGAGATTTCGTCTTGATTGTGGAGACTCTCTCCTTGAAGAGCATCTGAACAATCTCAAACGAAACGCGACATACATGAGCAATAAATTCCAAAATGAGCTCATAGCGGCAATAGGAAAGATCATCCGAAGAAAGATAGTACGGGAGGTCAATGATTCTAAGTTCTACGCCGTGCTCGCGGATGAGACATCAGACGCCGGTAGGATCGATCAGTTGACGATTTGCCTGCGTTACATATCGACCTCAGCCAGCAAGCCTGTCGTCAAGGAAGTTTTCTGAAGTTCTGCGCCGTAGCTCAGAAAACCGGAGCCGCGCTAGCGCGTACCATCTTGGATGCTTTGGAAGAGGAAGGAGTCGACGTGAGAAATATCAGAGGTCAAGGATATGACGGTTGTGCTTCGATGAAAGGAGCTGGAAATGGTGTCCAAGCAGAAATTAAGGCCGTGGTGCCTCAAGCCCTGTACTTTCACTGCGCCAGTCATTGCCTCAGCCTCGCGCTCGTCCATTCCGCCGAAATTGTCCCTATCAAACTGGCCGCTGGTGTCGTCAAGAGCGTTTGTAACTTCTTCTGTAAGTCTACGAAGCGACACCAATGCCTGATGGATAAGATAGATGCCCACGCACCCACGTCGTCCAAAACACGGCTCAAAGCTCTGTGCCCCACTCGTTGGGTCGAATCGCACCACGCCTTCATTACTTTCAGAGAGCTTCTAGTCCCCCTCTTCCACTGTTTGGTTGAGCTCGGACAAGTCACGGGAGAAACTGGCGTGCGAGCATACGAACTAGAGAGCTCCGTCTGCAAATGCGACTTCGTGTTCGCTCTACTCACCATTGAGAGCTTCTCGTGCTATTTTTTCTCCCGTTGTCTATGCAATTACAGAAAAAAAGCCTCGATATTTTTGCCGCTCTCAGGATGGTCGACAACATCTTATCCATTCTTGAGCTTAAGCGTCAAAATGTTGAGACCGAGTTCAAGATAATCTACGATGAAGTCACAGAGATCTGCGCTCTGCTGGATGTCGAGATCAAAATGCCTCGCATTAGCGGTAGACAAATGCACAGGGAAAATCATCAGGCGGAGACACCCGAAGCTTATTTCCGGGTGACTATGTACTTTCAGTATCTTGACCATTTGATCCAGGAGCTTCGTTCGCTGTTCGCCGATTCTCGGCAAAAGGCAATGAAAGTCCAATGCCTTGTACCGAAGTATACCGTCAGTAGCACTTTCGCCGATCTCATTGAAACGCTGGACTTCTATCAGACCGACTTAGACTGCAGTGCCAGCGTTCTCAGAGGGGAGTTTGAATGCTGGAAGGCGAAGTGGGGCAGGAAGGCTGGGAACGAGCTTCCAGAAACCGCAATCGAAGCACTCAGCTTTTGTCCAAGGATCGAATATCCGAAGATCGCGACCCTCCTCCAGATATTTGCCACATTCCCCGTGACGACATCAACACCCGAGAGAACCTTCAGCTCCCTGAAGCTGCTCAAAACTTATCTTCGATCTACGATGGGGCATGAACGACTCAATGGATTGGCTTCGATGACTCTGCAGCGCGATGTACCGGTTAGTGTCGACGAAGTTGTCGATTTAATCGCCCAGGATCCGAGAAGGTTAGACATTGTTCTATAGGCGATGGCCATCGCTCAATCCGAAAGATCGTCGTTGTCGCTCATTGCGAGGAGCGGGGATGAGACAGAAGCAAGAGTTTGCCCAACTCATGACTCATCTCATAACTTCCTAACATCTAAATCGAATGATAACACCTCATACCTCCTCAAATTGTGTCCTGAGTGAAGTCAAAGGATGAAACTTTTAGCAAGGAGCGGCATCAAGCCGCCTCCGACTCTTGTAATATAATCGATAAGCTAAGCTAGCTACCTTCCTTATCATATCATATAAACATGAATGGTGCCTACGAACGGTCTCTTCATTTGTCTTCGGTTCACGGCGAAGTCGAGATCGACGAACCCCGGGATGAATGTTGGCCCCCCCCAAGACGAAATCCTGGGCACGCCCCTGCATCAGGGTTCACGTCTGAGTTGTGGCCTTGATTCCCGTAGGGCATGCCGTCAGGCTTTTCCTCTCAGTTCTGGCCCTGGTACCCGCGGAGGATGCCGTCAGAATTACTGTCGAATAAGCTCCATCCCGAGTCGACGGTCGAATTCTCGGACACTGGCGGATCCAGGACGCATGAGGTGAATCCCCCCTCCCAAAAATATTGTCGTCGTCATTATACTCGTGTGCAGGCCCCGAGGGAGCGCGTCATCATTCCGAGCCCGAATCACCTACGGTTCCCCTCCCCATTCCTAAAGAAGAGGTCCTACGTCCGCCTCTGCGCTTGTATCTATCAACGGATACTCTGACGCCTCACACGCCAACAAGAGATGGTGGCCGTCGCGTCGGCGGCGATCTTGATCTAACTAGCACACAGGAACTCTGCATGATGTGCCATGGATCCCTCGGATGCCCGATTCGGAGAGGCCTCCGTCCCTACCAATCTCAGAAGTATTAGTGAGTTCCGTCCGAGCTCCGCCTCCTCAGATGCTCTCGACTGACGCGGGTCACGACGGAGCCATCGGGCATGTGACCGTAAGCTCAGTAGCGGCTCTCGAGTGGCTCCACGGGCAACGGCCACAGTCAGAGCGCTCTTCATAAGAAAACAGCTCCGACGCTCCTGCTATTGACTCTACATAGATCCTTTTCTGGTGGATGTGTCGCAAAAGAGTGACCGTGCTCGATTTCACTAATTGATGAGTCAGATGTCACGTATGTCACATATGGGTTTCCAAAATAGGGTGTGGAGACGGAGATTGCAGCGATGTATCAAGACATCGATTTACTCGGAGAACGATGGTAAGACTATAACGCTCCGCTCGTCTTCTGTGAGAACTCGGATGCTTGTGCCAAAGAGCGAAATTGGCCAACATCCGTCTTCTATTGGTCAGAAACAATAGAAAATCGTTCGAAAAATAAGTCATACCTGGTAAGAAAGCGAACGCAGGGCATTCCAGGCTTTTGTCTGATCAAAAGAGTATCGAGAATCAAGTCGTCGCGCCGTAAACCCTTATCTTTCCATGATTTAAGGCGTTCAGATTTTTGTTGCAGCAATCTCGCTGTATCCTGGAATAGAACACGAGCTATCCGACGAGCCGGACTTATAAAAATATCAATTATCATTGGGCGTCTATGAAGACACATCAAAGAGAAACGAGTTGGCGGCCCGCGCAGCCCTGCCCCAAATAATTGTGCTTCTACAAACAACCGTGAGAAACAAAACTATTTTTCTCTTCGTTTCCAGACTTAGCTCTGACCTCACGGCCCCCGTTCCCGTTCCAAACGCCCCACCGACAAATGGGATGGTAAAAATGCCGCAGTGAGCATTGTCACTGTATCAATCAGGGTCGAGAAAAGTCTACACGCATTCGGTAGTTTTCTCGGTACTCTGTCCCAATGAAAATAGTGCCAAAAGGGGATCGATCGAGGACTCAGCGCGGGCTGAATGAAGTATTCGTATCGTTTTCTCTCCGGCTCTTGATATCAAGAAGTAGCTCGGTGGTTGATACCCGCTGAACTCAGATGGTGAGAATAGATTCCTTCCCGGATGGGAACCATGCAGAGAAATTGATCAACCACTTTGACGTTTTCCTCAACATCGGGTAGAGCACAGACCCGAATGACTTCAATGGCGGCATATTATGTCATGACTGTCTCACTCGACTGACTGAGACATTGCGACTTTCTCTTCAAAGGAGTCGCGATCAGTTCCCGATGGCGGTTCCGTGACGGTTAGCGCACCCCTCTTGTGCAAATCCGCAGAATAATCAGGAATATACGATCAACGTTACGAGGCGAATTCTTCCGACGTAGTTAGACCCTTATCAGTTTGAATTCTGTGGATGCTGTGATGTATCGAATCGAGAAGAGCGTTGTCGCGCTATTCATGGCGCTGCGCGAGTGAACCCTCCACTGCAGAGCACTATTTTGATTTCTTTATACGAGTCGTCTCATGCAAGCCCCATCGATGCGGTGGGCGAAATTTGTGCTCCGATCGAGATTTCGGCTTTGACATTATATGTCATCAGTCATCACGCCATACATACCTTGTGTATATCCCTCGAGCGTCGGGAGAGACGCTTGTTCACATGGAGAGACCGCTACTCACCATATCTAGGATATTCTTCTGCCGCTCACTTCATGTACCGTAAATCCTCCAATAGTGACCCGGGCTTCTATTTTTCAAATACCTCCGGCGAGGGGCTTCTATTGGAAAGGGGCTACTATTGGAGGGGGGCTTCTGATATTCCAAGAGAAATCTTGCTCCGGAAAAGTGATCATGGATAAGGGGGGGAGAGGGTGTTCCCGGTCTGGGTGGAAATCTTTGGGCGCTGCAGCCCAGATTCTATCACGTCAGCTCTTCCCCAGCCGATTACGGCAGTCCGGGGTCTCCTAGTGGAGAGCCTCTATTGGAGTGAGGCTTCTATTGGAGGGGGGCTTTTGTTTCCTCGAAAGTTCCGGCAGGGGGGCCTCTATTAGAGAGGGGCTTCCATTGGAAGGGGGCTGCTACTGGAGGATTTACGATATTATATTTTCATCATCTTTACCGTGACGGTTGTCAATTATAATTGATCTTAATTTATGCAGGCTCCCGATCGGGCCATGGGCCGCGTCATCATCTGGGAAGAGTGAGTGACTGAACTCTGAGCTGATACACGTAGCCGATGTTGGTCCCAGGCGCAAGGTCACAGACGGATCGGATTCCTAATCCCGCGGTCGAAATCGGCGGTTGGGCCTGCTTTCCGAGAATCGCTGATCGGGCTTATTGTGAGACTGAGCTGCTCGCCGTGAGTCATGACCTGCCAAGGAAAACAATTGTAGTCTTCCCCAAAGAGATCCCTTGTCACCGAGAGACCTGAGACCCAAGCTGAGGATCCGAAGAAGTGGAATGAGAAAGCAATCGACTCAGCATCGCCATGCTCAAAGACCGGCTTTCCACAATGAGGCTTCTTCTAGGGAAGTTTCGAATTATATACCTATTGCACAACGAATTGCTCGCAAATATCCGTTCCGACGATATCCAGGAGCACCGGACGGAAATTCTGATTGCTCATTATCGACAGCTTCATTAGCATGTAGCAACTGATCAGCTGTTTCCGCATAAAGGCGAGATCCAATCCTTGCATTCATTCATATTGATGAGTGTCTCGTGCGATCGATATTCCCAAGCCGAAACACGCCGCTGAGCGAAACGAGGCCGGCCGCCATCTCCCGAGGAAGATGCCTTCCCAAGTCTTCATCGATACATCGGATTGCCCCCGAGGGAAATGGAGATTGATAGGGAAGTTCTCTCCTTCGATCATTGTCCTTCATAGGCTTCATCCTAGCTGACGCTCTCCGACTTATCTGATCCAGGCTTCCAGTCGCTCAGGGGGGGGGGGGGCAGCCGTCTCAGAGCAGGCTTAGCCGCGAGCAGACTGAAAACTCGAAATTCTCTGCTGGGTGAGAACATGGATATCGATTCCGGAGTGCACATTTGAAGATGACACTACTCGCCACGAAGTTTCTTCTCGCCCAGAACGAAGGGCTCCTGCCACCTTCTGTGATATCCAGCGGCCCCCGGTGAGGGAAAGCGCGCTTCCACCGCAGCGAGCAATTCTCATTTTCATTCGCGCGGCGCTCGCAGCTCATTCACGAATTCACCACTGCGACGACGACTCGTTCCGTACCGGTCAATAATCCTGAGCGGGGTATCTCCTCGACCCGTGACTCTCAGGGAAAAGTGCTGACGATTTAAGGCTCCCATATGCAACCGAGAACCGAGAATCTGTGAAGGCAGCTAGAGTCACATACCGTTCTGCGGATGTAGTTTGTTCAGATCTTCGGGATCCGGATACTAGTGTGTAATCTCGTCGAAGAAGTTCATATTGACCAAAAATGTTCGGGACTCTCTTCGATGTGCTGCTGCATATGTTCCAGATCTGGAATGTGTACGCTCAGTCGATGTTACAAGTAAGCAACCTAATCTTCTACCACTTAGTGTTCTAATCCATGGTCGCTCCCCGCGATGCCGATTAGAGGCCGCGGGGAGTCGGGATCTTCTCTCGCAATTCCAATAAAGCCCAAGATCGAGGGCGGAACCAATACTCCTGACGATTTTCAATTTCTCCATCGATTTCGAGAGCGTGTTTCGCGAAGTGAGAGAATTGCTTCTTTCGCAAGCCATCGATCTCACCCTCCCGAATGCTACGATCGAATAAGATCGGCCCCCCTTCGAAAGCTCCGTCCCAGGGAGCGATTGTCCTTGTAGAACTTTCCTAAGGTACGGATCGTTTTTGTTCAAGTTGGAAGCTGACTTCGCATTTCCGACATGCCATCATGAATCTACATCTAGATTGTTTGTGCAAGATCCATCGGCTGGCATTCGTTGCAGAGTTCTCAGCGAGGAATAAAGCGAAAATGCCGTCGTTGAGAGAGTCATAATAATAAAGATGTCACCGTAAGTTGTAGACGTCTAATACTGCTCCCGAAAGTCGGGTTCGGTCCCATTTGCGTCATATTCGGGAGTGCCGTCACAGACACGTTCCGGTGGCCGACACTCTCGTCATTCGTTTGTATCTCCGCAAAGCATCACCTGCAATCGTGAGCGCTTTCTGTTTTCCCCTGCAAGCTCTCATCTCTCATAAATTCATCGTATGAACGAAGTCTTTCAAACAATTTATCGTCTCCCTCTCGTGGACCGGTTCAGAGCAGATTGACTTCCCCAACAAAACTGCTCCTTCGAGGGGAAATTCTGAAAACGTGAGACGTTCTGTCACCGCGGAGCTCCGAGGCTATAGGTTTCCGAGAAAGATTTGAAGTATGAGAAATCATTCGCTCCAGGATCACAATATCGATTCCGAAGCGCCTCCTCCGAAGTCAAACGATGTATCATTCAGAGATCATTCTGCAACTCTACACTTTGCTCACCTGAACGGACGATCCTCGATAGTTTCGGGGACCGCAGGGGGAGCGGTTCATAGAAGCCCATCAGAGCAGACTTTCGAGACCCACGAGAGTCGGCGTTGCCATAAATGATAGCTGAGAGCGATATGCTTCGATAATACTAATATGATCCTATCGGCGGACCAGCCTTAGACCGAAGGATGTTAAGGCGTGTTAGTGATCTCGGAGCTCTTATCATGGGACAGGCTTGTTGAATCGAACTCCCACTCCAGCGCTCCGCTCTCATTGATGTCGTTGAAGGCGTATATATGCAAACCTCGAAACCATCGAAGTTCGGGTCATGTGTAAAGAATATTTCATCTCGTCGCACGGGACGACGAGAGACTCCGAGATATTCAACCTCTATTCCTCAATTCAGCGAGAAACGTGGGTACTTCGGGAACCCGATATGCGGGAGCATTCGTCTGTGAGTTCAAGGCCCGCAATTCGCGAACCTTCCGGGGAATTGCACAGCAATTCGGTGGGACGACGGAATTCAATGAGCGTTCCGATCTGAAGAAGAGGGCGTGAACTCCGGAACTCCTGGGCTGTCTGAAGGGGAAGCTCGATAAGTTCTCACCGAGACCGCTGGCTGAGGTCCTCATACACAGAGAGGATCCCCTTCGTGCGTTCGACTGGACCTGCGTTTCTCGTTTCCGCTCGCGGAACCCACCGGTCCGCCAGACTTCTCTCGCGGCGCTCTACGCACGTGCTTCCACCGTTGATAGAATTTCCCACGGTTCTCGCTCACGCATGAATTTATACCAGCTTCCCTGCTAAGTTACACCGCAGACAAGTGCTAAGGATAGGTTAAACGAGATCATTCAGCAACGTTTTAATCACGAGAAAATGTTCTCCGAGATGTCTGCATGCATGCCTCCGCTTCTTATCAAGCTGAATGCTTTGCCGAACTCGGAAAGCCCCCGAACTTCCCGAACTTTTATAAAGACCCAAGGATTTCGGAAGGCTCGCTTATCTAATTCCCTCTCATGATTCCAGGGTTTCGGTGTTTCCATGTTCACGATATCATCATTGGACCTCTCGCGAGCCTTGAACGCCACGGTCTCTGAGGTCTCGCTGCTGAATTTCACCCAAGCGGTCGCCGCCGTGATTGGAGCCTTAGCAAGTAGGTGTATTATGGATCATAAATCATTGAAGATATCGTTGGAAGTCTAAAGAATCCCACCGGGAGTCTCCCGTATCATGTGGACCGTCACGGTTCACCTGGCTGTGACAGGCTTCCAACCATATCGCACCTCCGGAATTCTGTTTATTCGAAATAAGTTCTGAATTGAGGCAAATTACGTCATCGCAATGAATGACGAAAGAGCTATTAGATAGTTTCCAGGGGGTCGGGTCTCGAGTGTCTTACGGTATGAATACGATGCCCTTAAGCAAGATGAAATCCCGCGTCACGGAACACCCGCTATCTGACCGGGCGCCAAGTGATCGACGACCGGCCAGCCGACCAAACGGATGAATTATTCGGGTTGCCTGATCCGTTCAAACGATGGGGCACTATATTTTCTCGAATGCGGCTTCACAGAAATTTCATCGGCCCGGGCTTACTGTGCCATGAGCCATGAGTCGGGATAGCACCCGCCGTATAACTCTGACTGACAGGATCTTGTCCGCAAAGGAGTTTTCCGTGTCATGGCTCCCCCATCGTCATTACAGAATCTTCTTGATCTTGATGTTCAGAGTCTTAGTGTACTCTCGGTACGAAACTCGAATGAGAGGAATTTTCGGGAATCTGGTTCTGATGTAGATGCTCGGGGTTCAAATAGAGAGCTTTGTCGAAGCTCCAAGCGACGACGGGGTCGTCGTTTTTCCTCGCGTCTCGTCGCCATCATGATCTCTGAACCATCATGAACAATTTTACGTTATACGGCGGCCGCTGGAGCCGGAAATATTTGTCCGCTGGCGTCGGCATACGCAGAGGATTTGCGAAAACACCCCGGTGGGCACACAACCCTATGCCTACTTCGGGACAGACTGAAATAATAAGAGAAAAGTTCACAACTACCTTGTTGACGAATGAACCACAAGTTTGGCTGACTTTTTTTTTCGCGGAGGGATTGTCTCCCGATTGTCGTCCGCTGTACAGTCCCCTGCCTTTGGCCGCATCAATTGTAACAGAATTTTTCCGACGACCGATCTTTCAGGAGAGAGCATCACCACTAAGCAGCTCACTATTCCCGGAAATACAGACGGAATACTTGTCATCACCAAATATTGTTTCCAGGTGGACCGTTATATTCATACGTCAAGGTTCATTACCTCCTCGTGGGGGCGATTGTTCTCCAGGGTATCTCACAGGCACTCTTGCCCGTTTGCGCCGACATACGCATCGCCCACGGTCTATACGCTCTCAGTGGGCTCACGCTCCGATTCAGCGAAGCGGGTGAGTCAGAGCGGCGCATCTTCCAGCATAGATATCATCCACACTCCGTCGTGTCGTCAGTACTCCGATGCCCGACAGCACATACGAGGAGCATATCGTTATTCGTTGAGGACTCGGTTCCCCGTCAGCGTCAAGAGGTGGATTGCGATCATGCCGAATTAATTTCCAAATGAAGGCCTCGCAGAAAACCATCTCAAGATGCATCATTGATCGCTTATGAAGACTGGCTATAAAGTTGATCGGAGCGTCGAACCACTGGGGGTCATTACTTAGAATTCGTTTCGTACCCTTGAATAGTCGTCCGATTACGGACGGGTCCAGACGAGACTACAATGCACATCCGCTCCAGCCAAGCTGGGCTCGCCTAGTCTGGCTGAAGAATTGATGCATCCTTGACTTCTGAACCCTCCCTTGTCGACATCGATGGCTCACTTCTTCGCTCTGGTCATGAGCATTTTTGATGACATACCACGTTGGTTTCCACACCACTGCTCACACTAATGTGAACAAGCTCGAGGAAAATGTTCTGACAAGAGTAACATCATCCCGTGAGATTCACGGTTGAATAACGGCATCTGGAATCATATACAAGGAAAGAATCGCGCGTGAGTGATGGACTCGGTCGAGTCACGGATGATTACCTAATCGAAGAAACGGTCTTTGTTCCTTGAGTACCGTAACAATGAGGAAATGTGGCGGTCTCCGATCAAGCTTGATTCCCTGCGCAAAGGAATGATTGCGACTCCCAGAATGATGAGCGAAAACAGAAGAGGCGTCCTCTCAGGTTTGGATAAGTGTGACTAGGTGAATGAATTCCGAACGTATGAGAAACCGGAGCTTTCCTCAGAATGTGCAATGAAGGTGTTGGCTCCGGTCGTCAGATCCTCGCAACTTTTCCAAAATAATGACGACCGCAAACAATATCGGAAGGCTCACCGACTCCGCGTCGCCCCTACCTTCCCTCTTGAACCAAGCTTTAGCTTCGACTAATTGTTAGTGAGATCATTCTGATATGACTTGTCGAAACGAAGGGAATGAATGCATCAGCTGGTGGGAAGAAGGGGGACGCTATCTCATCCCCCTTCTTCCTGTATAACTTCAGTCGAACCGATCATCGCTAGAATGCCCACGCGCTTCAAGAAACGCAATAATTAAAAACACGATTGGTACGCCCTCGCAGCCATTCCAGTGGGGAGACAATGCTCCATCAGCGAGAGCAAGACGCATTCGATTATCCGGACGTATTCCGTGGAGTCCAAGCGGAAAATCGCGATAGATCGGAGAAATCACAATCGATTCGCGTTGAGGAGCAGCGGTCGGCTGCTGCCGGCCGCACGCTGGCGGGCCGGAGCTGTCTTGTCAGGATTCTGGGCGCCAGAAAGAGTGACGATCGGTATCGGTGGTATCAAGACTCTCCTGTTGTTGGCGCGCAATGGACTGTACTTCATTCGATTCTCTGGAAACCTACCTGCCTTGTTCTGCGTTCAGTTTCCTTGATCGAATGCACGCCGAGATCTTGATTTCCTTTTCGGGAGAGAGAATCAGTTCTCCAATTCCGTTCCCGGGCAATCCCTCCTGACTTGCTTCAGCGTCATCCGAGCAATTTCGAATTCGAGTCCCGGACTCCGGCGGGGAGCCAAGCAAGGATTCAAGTTTCTCCCTCCTCGTGCCGGTCATTCCTCGTCTAATGGTGCTGCGCCGGAGTCCAATGTGAGCGAATTATGCGCATTCTTCGATGGAACGTCCTTTCCCCCTAACCCCGGCTGAATGCCGTGTGTGTGAACTCCTCGACCGAGGCATGCGGGACCTAACAGAGGCCGTAGGATACTCGCTTCGGGCCCAATATTCCAATTATTGTCCCGAATCAACTCAGAAATCAAATGATCCGTGTGGGTTTTCTTGAATATTAAAGACTCGTCGAACGACAAATTCGTTCCTCAGGCCGCCATTTGAAATCGGCTCCGGCTCTCCTGTGGTTCCGACTGTGTGTGTTTAGGATGACGAAACCATAATTCCGCTCAAACTGTCCCAAAGAAAAGAGTACCGGATCCGTCAGCCGTTTGCCAGTACGTTTGAAATTCAAATCGCGCGGATTAAAGATGTGCCATGACCCCTATGCCAGCCAGAATTCGAAGCTGCCATCCAATTGACCGGGTAGCAGATTCAAGTCCAGCACGATTTCGAAGTCGTTCAACCGCGTGGCTGGCTCACTCCGCTATGACGTGGATGACAAACGCAGTGCCGACGCATCGACATGTCCCGTCTCCTCTGCCGGACCTAGCTCATGAATGGTCAAGGACAAAACTTTTCTGATCGGCCAAGAAGAGCCCGGCGTCTGCTGTACCCGCGAAAGCGATGAGGGAAACCTCGGACCACATTGAAGGCGACAAGAGTCGGATGGGTGCTGAAAATTCCGAGGGAGGAGGAGCTACATACTTCCCGAATAATCACGGACCCGTCACCCTCTGTGCATTCAAGTGTGATCGGCGACGATCCGCTCTTAATGGACTGAGGATTGATTCTCTTAGTTAGCCTTGGGTCACAAACTTCAGGATGGAAGCCTGCTTTCTACTTGAGGTTCTTGATCGTTCCTTAGGATCGATTAAAGCGGAACGCGGGATAGCATTTAGTTGCTCACAAATTGCCGTTTCCTCAACTTTGAAGCTCGCAGCGAAGTTTTCGCCACGATCGTGTCTGTAAGGGCAACTACTTGTAGAATTCTTACTTAGTAATCCTTCTCGAGCCGAGATTGCGTAAGTTCTTCGAAGTTATACAGCCAAGCGTTTGTTCGAGTGATCCAAACGCACGGGTCTACCACCGTTTCAGAAGTCATTGCTCGTGCCTCTCCCCCTTCGTGTAGCGTACTTTCTACATTGAGGCGCTTGATTTCAGGAAGCTATTTACTCCTCATGGCGGTGCACAAATCGCAGTGGATATCAACGGTCATACAAGGATATCATCTGATGTTCGCGGTAGGATCTGGAATCGCTCCGCTGATCACTCGGCCTTTCGTCACCGAGCGGTGAGTTCAAGATAAGGAGTGGAACCGCATGAGGGCTCTCGGAAGAGTTCGCTCGAATCTATGAATCTGAATAGGATCGGAGTATGCTTTGACGCCCATGGCTCGGAGACCGTTTCTTCGAAATCTCTGCCGAAAAACTGGGAGGACAATGTGGATTGGAGCTATCCATTGTGAGATGTCGCAAGACATGGAGAAGGCAGATGCTCGTGGTTGGACAAGTCTCACATCAGCCGAGGAGAAGGCGCCAGAGAAACGGGATAGTTGTCGAAGAAAAAAAAGATAACATGTGTTCAGAACTGGTTTTGACCGCCAAGGTTCATAGAATGCAATTTAGTCCCGGCTTGACTTTTGGTCGATTTTCTTCGTGGGGGTGTACTGGTTTTATTTGGGGAAGGAGATGTGAGAGTATTTTCTGGGCGATAGATTTTCATTCTGCTCGCTATTGTTCTTAGGCGTAGAAGCAGAGACAGGGAAGAACGAAACGCAGCGGAGAAGGCAGACGAAGATGTGTCAAGGTCATCCTATTTTTCACGGCTCCTGATGAAATAAGTGGCAGAAGTTCAGATCAGAGTAGTTTTGTTCGGGGCACTTCCACGTCGTCAAACCCGTCGAATCGATGCCGTCGTCGCTCGCTCCGCAACTAATCGTGATCGGTCGTGGAAGGTGGGAATAAGCGAAGAAAGAATCTTCTGTTCTTTGAACGTCGTTCCACTGACGAAGGTCTCCATCCAGAATCTTGTATGCTTATTTCCTCTTTCCTACGTCTGCTCGTTGAATGTTGTCAAATAGTATTTTATATCGGGAGATCCCCTATTTACGGAGCGATACCTCGAGTGCACCTGAATCCATGTGGGTCATCATTGGGGTCTTCCTGCTAGCTTTTCTGCGAGGACCTTGTCTGGAATATTCGGAGATCTCGAACTGCGAAGATCGCTCACTGTACAAGGGAAAACGAGCGGAAACTAGAGTATGAACAAGCGAAAACTAGAGTATGAACAAGCGAAAGGAGAGAGGGCGCTCTCCGAGGAAGCTTTACAGACGTAGCGCTCCGCAATAGCTCGCTGGGGGAGGTCCCTCGTTCAGCGGCAATCCTGACGGAGAGTTTCAAAGGCATGTAATAGTGGTGATATAATGCGCGAGTAGGTAATTAAATCAATTAAAAAGAGAATCATCTCTTCCAGAATCAATTCCTCGAACCGAACGATCAACTCTCGGAATCCATTCGCATCTCCTTTCCCGTCAACAGCGGCGCAGGCCGACGCGTTACATGCAATTCACCGGAATCCCCCTCCGCCACCGAGCGCCGATCCCCCGATTTTCGTCGCGCCCGTCGCGCGGTATCCGGGCGCGGATCGTGTGCCGAACCCTAGTCAGGTGTACATTCCGTTCGCATTGTTCGGAATTTTCGCGATCGTCATCGCCGGATGCTTCTACCTCGCGCACCGCTGGGCACGCGGAACCGGTTTGTCTGTGTTTTATCCGTAATGAACAGATTAAATTTCCGCTCTTGATCTCCATCAGCAGAACTCACTACGATCTACATCGCTGAGATACGCATCGCTTGGAATATTGTGTAGTTTAAGGAACGGTTTCGAGCCGTCATGTGATAAACTTGTCCTGGCAGATTGATATGAACTGAATGATCATCCACGCAGGAAAACCACGTCCTGCTCCCCGTCAGTCCCTGCGGGAATGGGCTCTGACCCTGCTTTGCGCATGTCATGCATTCTTGTACGTGCACACATTCGTTTCGGTCACGGATTTTCTCTCAGTTTACGGCATACTGAAGGGCATGACGCGTGCGGATTCCCGTCTGCTCCTGACCGGTAAGTTCTATACCAAGTACTATAAGTTCTATCTAAGTACTATAACATTTAAGAAGGGTTTCTGACGAGTCGATTATACCTGAGCGATCATCATCGCTAGGCTCTGAGTCTTGCCATATCAACATTTTAGGCCTGATGACAGCTTTCTGCTGTTTCCGCACGATACCCGTTGTATTGTCGGTGAAACTGACGCCGGCCAATGTCCTATTCCTCGCTGACGTTGCTCTCTTGGGGGCTACAGGCGCACTCTACGCTGTGGGACACAAAAGTCACGCGCACTTGTGGTACTGCAGGTAAGGACAGCGACTCAAGGTTGCATTCCTCGCTATACTCTGCTACACTTGGAATGGTCTCTCTCTCGGCGATTCCCGAAAGATCTCGTGGGGAACATCAAACATCTGTTGAAAATGTCTTTGTCTTTCGCAGCGTTTTCCTCGGAGCTGCTTTCGCGTCCATCTATGGCTCAGCAAACGCGTGGCTGATATCTAAAGTTCGACTCAGTCAATTGCAAACGTGTGCCGTCGTTTCAGCGGCGGCTTTTGGTGCCGTGATGCCGTCGCTGCTTGTCGAAAGGTAATCTACTATCGCCCGATAGTTTAGCGTATTAAAAAGCCGGTTTTGCTTCAGTTCCGTAATCCTCTGAAAAAAGAAAGAATGCAAATGAGTGCTTTTTGCAGATGGATTGAAGAACGACCGGGCATCTTCCCCGTCGTTCCTTTGGTATCAGCTGGTCTTCTGAGCTGCGTCATGATAGCCATGCTACTCGCTGCTCACGTCATACCTAGGGACAGCGACCAGCTGGATGAAGAGAAGAGTTCTACGACCCAACTCTCCCAGAAATCTTCAAAGTCTTCAGTGTATAGCTACTGGGCTTACGATTAGCCGGAGTGAGTCTGTAGTAGAGGTTGTACATATGAGTGTGAGATATCTCTCGATCCTGCTCCATGAGTTCGCGGTGCTGTTCTGACCGCTTGAGCATTCAAGCGAAACATCCCAAGAGGTCATTCAGGGGTCAGTCATTGTTCATGGTCCTCGTCTGGCTCGCAGGCTGGACCGAATTCAGTCATTGCTGTACAGAAATCGACAAAGTCATGCCTACTCAAACGCCATAGCTGTCATTGCCCCGTAACCGCTCATCGTTGGAATAAAGAAACCCCAGGATGGTGATCGAGTACGGACGTTGTGGTAGAGCTTTAGAAAAGCGTTTCAATCAAGCTTTCACGGACTGGTAGATCACCTATCATCGCAGCCCACAACGCTACAACTCTGGATTAGAGGTCTCCGACAAGGGGGAGCTCCCCCCAATTCTCTGTACGCCCGAAACTGTCCCCGTGATTCTCCCTCAACCTCTCGAAACCCGTTCGATGTCCATGTGAGGTCGAGAATGCCTGCAAGTATAATCGCGGCGACACTCTTCCTCTACATAGCTCCCGAGTATTTTCCTGACCTTCCAGCGGTTCTTACGGGTTGGAGCTCTCCGCAAGGATTGGCACGAGTCCCGGTTCCCGAACAGGCATGGAGAGAATCAGTTCCTCTCCTCGACACGGAATCTGAAGCTTCCGCCGCCTTGCGTGGACAGCAATATTCTACGCCACCTCTGTACGAGCTCAAATCATATCTGTATACAACCTTCCTTCTTGTAACTTGCATGAGGAACGAAAATTGTCGGAATCAGAAGAGCCGAATCAATCACGAAGCCGAATCCGAAGCCAACGAAGAATCATACGGATTAGACCTTCGTAAGACCACGTTATGGACTCTTGTCGAGCGGGTTCCTGAGTACCAAGACCGGGTGGCCGTTTTTCGTCAAGAATGTCTCCGCCCGGATCGCTTCTTGAACTATCGATGCTAAATCGGATGAGTCACGAATGCTGCAGTGCTGACAGAGAAGTCTGAGGCCGGATCATTTGGCTTCTTCATCAATTCAGTCCGAGGGGGAGTTGAAAACTGACAATAAATTCCCTCAATCTCGATCACTTCCTTGATTTGTGTTTATTGATGGCTATGATTTTTACAGGGGAAGAATAGACTGAATCTACTTCTTCTTGATCAGGGGAACGTAGGCGGCTCCGTATCCGTGGCCGTAATAGCCGGGAGCATATCCGTACGAGAGGGGAGCCGAGTAACCGTAGGCAATGGGAGCGGCAGCCTTAACGATGGGAGCGGCGGCGAGAACGGGTGCGGCCTTCACAATGGGAGCAGCATAGACAGTGGGAGCATGCACGGTCTTCGTGAACGTGGTGTAGGAGGTAGCGAGAGGAGCTTTCACGATGGGAGCAGCGTAGGCGATGGGAGCAGCCTTAACGATCGGTGCAGCGTATGCGACAGGTGAAGAGTAGGCAACGGGAGCAGCGTAGGCTGCGGAGGCATAGTGGTAGGGAGCAGGGGCGTAGTATCCTCCATAGAGGGCTCCGGCCGAAGCCTGGGAAACGACAGCGACAGCGAGGACGGCCTAGAAAGCAACATTCAAAAGTTCAGAATAGCGCATTCGGAACCTCACCATGCAGGAGTCCATCTATACGCCTCGACTCATGGGAGAGCACAGAATCGCGAACGCCACAATCTGAGGAGACGAAAAGTCTCCAGGTCTCTGGGACGTAGCACGACCGACAATCTCGCACGGAGGAAGGTTGGCGGGGAAACTCGGGGAAACTCACGAGAGCGAACATGATTCCTGTCTGATGCGAGCGAAGGCTAGACACTTGAATCCTCAGAAGTGCGGGCTTGCTTAAATAGTACACTGCCCGTTCTTGCTTGAACGATAGTGAGCGAACCCTTCCCTGGATCGACCTTGAATGAGACGAGACGGCGACCGCTTCGAGGATCCTCTGGACGTCACCAGATTCACTGCAGCGAAGTTTCGTTGACCTTGGTCGGGAAGATCGACGGGGAAGGCTGACCGCTCGAAATGAACAGTTTTGCTTTCAAGAGAAATTTTGGCAAGCGCTCGACCAGAATCTTTTGGTCGACTCCTTCAGCTGGGGGATGGCCCAGAAGACGCGAGCACACCCGTCGTCGGACCTGACTCAATCGAATCAAAGGACCGAAAGTAGACACTTATCGCAGGTCTTGACGTTTTTCGCCTCCTCATGCCGTAGCTCAAGAGCATCTCCCTACCAGCGTAGGGCCAAGAGCTTGGATCAAACCGCGGTCTGAACTCAACAGATACGGATAAATTGCTTCGGCCTCGCCTGATACTCGAAAACACTCCGACTGGGGCGCCTAAGTATGCAGAGTCGCAGTAAGTGAACATTCGACTTGGCGAATTCAGAAAAGTACATAGATACCTTAGGGTAATTTTTCAGCTGCCGTCGGCCTTGGATAGGTCTTTGACTCCGTCGCCGCGTGAGCATATCCAGAAAGTGGCTCAATTACGTTCAGCTCCTCGGCCGGCAGGCCGCACCGCTGGACGGGCGATCGAGCTTGAAACCTCGCCAAGGAACGAAACGCCCGTGCTGCAGGCCGAACGCGACAAGATGACTTCGGAGAATATTCGACCGATCGTCGAGTGGAAGTCGCGCTGTGTTCCGTTACATCACCGTGGCTATAGCACAAGGGAGGAGCGGATAGCCGTTTTTTCGGGGTATAATGATGAGTCAGTGATCGGTTCGTTCTCTGCTCCATACGAGCGTCGGAGGATGGACCGGCTGTTTGAGTCGTTTTTTGATCAAGACCTCGTTCATCGCTTTTCATGGATTAGGGTTGCTGACGGTGATTGGAATAAACTTCATGGTGGAATGGATTTACGGTTTCGAACAGAATTTACCCGAACTAAGAAGGTGGAACTCCGAAGGGAGTCGAGAGCTTCGATGCATTTCCATGGGCTGCAACTTGTTTCGATAATTTCTGCGAACCCATGGAGCGTCCTTTTCTTGAGCTACAGTTCGGATTTCGTCGTGGGATTGGGAATCCCGCGATACAAAACTCTTATGGGTCGTGGCAGGAGACAATCGTTCCGGTACGGCTCCCGACGTCATCAAGTTCATACCATCAACGAAGTTTCGAGACCGTTCTTCCACTAGCACTCCCACTAGGTGATCGGAGCCGTCGCTTATCTCGTTGGATAGAGGTAGAGCGTGTCGTTGTCGGACAATCCCGAGATCGACAGAGTTTCATCGCGCAAATTTCGACATTCGATATATAAGCGCTTGATATTCCGGACAGATGAACTAAAGTCGACCGCTGGTTATCCTTCGTCGGGCAGATTCCGAGCGGGGAAGTGGAATCAATTTATCCACGGCTGCATTGATGGTGAGAAGATACAGTCAAGTCTTCCTAAATTGAACCCTCCCTAAATTAAAAACCCTCGCTAAGTTATAATTTGAACCAATTTCCAGCAGCGCTCCGATAACTTATAACATAGACTTTCACCATAGAAATATTTATAAACTATCGCTGGAAGAGGAAGAATAGGAAAAAACATGAGCCTTCGCTAACTTATAACTTATAATTTTCTCCGAAATCGGTCTCCCGAGAATTATAACTTAGGAAGACTTGACTGTACGAGATTCATCATCATTAGTTCACCTCCTGCATGAAAATCGTTACCGAGCAACACGTTCCATGAGGAACGAGAAAAAACCAAGCCGAAAACCAGGCTCCTCAAGGCTCATTCAAAGGTAGAGCTCACCGGATGAGATCCGGACGGTACTCGAACGATGGGGAGTTCCAGGGGAGCTTGCCAAGGCTCTAAGGTGGAGGATAGATTGCGGCCAGAGTCGTACAGCGCTCAGATCGAAGGGCTATGGAACGGCTATTGGACGGCTGTGGGATGGCTCATTGGATCATTGATGAGCTTATCCCGAAGAATGTCCAGTGCCAAAGATTTCTCTCGAAAGAACAACACGAAAATGAACAGCAAAGGGTCCATCTACTACCGAGTGTCTGATGAGGGAAGTCATAAACCTAATTTACCCGATATTGACAAGGTCGCTGGCGAGGGTGTGATATAGCACACCGACTTCAAGCAAGCTCCTGAATTCAAGCGGCTCGATCCTGTCCTAACCGTTGTTTCCCGCGAGGGGATTGGACCAAAACTGAGACCATGTCCCTCTATCTCTTCGTTGCGTAGAACCTTCCGAGTCAAAGCTCGCGAAACCTCTTCAAGCGTCTCTCTGCCCCACCTCCGCTTGCTCTCGAGCCTACAAAGAGAATCATTGGGATCATTCCATCTTCTCTCATCCTCAGGGATGCAGATCTATCGTGACATACAGAGTTTTCGCGGCGCTCGTGGCATTTCACCGCGACAGATCTGACGCCTTACACTCCTTAATCATCACTGATGGAGTCAGACACTTTCTTGTCGTCGGTCCGACCTTCTCACGGACGCGAACGATGTCAAGATGGTCAAGACCATCGGCGGCGTCTCTGGATGATTTCGCAGCATGGGCGTCGGACATGAACCTACTTTTTACAGTTGAAGAATTTTGTCCTTGTTGGGTCCTGCGAATAGCTTTCGATACCCCCGTTACCTGCTTCAGAATTTTTCAATAACCGTCTTCTCAGGGCGTCGATTATCCGTGATCTCGGAGCTCATCTCGACGGAGCGCTAAGTTCCCACACTGTTGTTCGGGTAGAGAGCTGCTTCCTTTTAGAATGAATTCTGCGAGCTTCCTCAGTTCGTGATCTTCATGCGTTCTTATATTGCGTTCCATATTGCCCATTTTGAGGATAGGCCGTCAGGTCCGACATGCCGGCACCGCCCCTGACGACGATGAAAACGGGGTCCAACCGCAAAAGAGGATACCTCTCCCGTCTCCCGACGAGATCTATTGTCCTTCTTCCGACTCCCTACAGAATAGCGCCAAGTTCCCGGGGGGCTAATTTGGCATGGAATGCTTTTCAGCGAGATCTCAGACCCCGAACCCACAATTCCTCGTCGCGGTTCCTCCTAAGAACCGAAGTTAGCCGTCCTAACCAGGTAGGTCCACACGACTCATCAAGACTTCCCATGCACACCAGTGATACATTGTCCACGACAGCTGACCACTTCACAGAGCATGTGGTCATGTGGTCTAGCACCAATCCCCTCTCCGGAGCGAATTGATGAATGGCGACCATTTACAGCGAATTGGCTTTCAATAGAGGCATTTATTATTTGGAAAAGATCGGCATCTCTCTACGTCACTCTCGCTCAAGTACGGCAATATATATTTACATCACTAAATACAATACAGCACGGAGTGCCCTCGAACGCACCGGGGTCGTCGCCCGGGACAAACTCGGAAATCTTAGCTAGAGCCTCGGAACAATCAACTGGATGTGATCAGAGAGGTTCTATTATAATAATCCGTGTCCTGAGCGAGTTTTGGATGAGTTGAAGACATCTTCTACTTGAAAATATGTGTCGTGTTCGTTTGTTCATCACATCACTATCTTCATTTGGATGACAACTCTCTTGCGCGAGATCAAACGTTTGGAGGGAAGTCTTTCCGGCTTCTTCGCCGAGAGCTTGCTCAACTCTTCTTCCGGGTTAGGATACGTCTCCTCTCTGATCTCGATATACTTCCCGCTTGGAGCATGAAAATGTGCACGTAGGACGGTTTCGTATTGCACTGCTTCTTGTACATCGGCGAATCCTCTAAGCAGCTGAACATCGAGAAGTTCCTCAGCCTTTCATCTATCTCACTCAGATCAGCAGGAACTTGTTCGATTGCGCCATGAGCCCTCAAGCTCACGCATTTCAAAAGTTCATCTATCGAGGATCCACCAGAGGGAGCTTCTCGTTCGACATCTGGCATACATCACGGAATCATGCATGAACCTTCGCGTTGGGACCATCGTTCTCTTCCTGAAGCTTATCGGGGATCGATGATCCTGACTGACACGACCGCGGATCCAGTCCGCGTTTTCCGAAGGGTTTTTCGCCGAAATCGCTGCCGTAACAAATATCATAGACAGGCTATCATCAACAGCTGTGGTAAAAACACACTGCGCACAACTGATTGTGGGTGCTAAAAAGCTAAAATGATCTAGGTTCCATCTAGTCCATTGCAGAATACGGCGATTCTCAGTCAGAAACTAGCTTTCATTCAGAAATCGGAAACTTGAACTTTACAACTGGGGGCTCGAGATGTGACTCGAATAATGCCTGTAGCACCTCTTTTAGTTTGTTCATGGTGGAACGGAATCAATTCTCTATAATATCACTCGAGGACCGAGTGACTACTAATGGGAGTCCAGAGCTCTGACATTTGAGGATTCGAGATTATTTTCTGCGGCCAGCGTTTCGAGCTTCGCCCAGAGCATTTGTCGGAGACAGAGATGTGACATCCGTCGCTTCTGCGGTCAAGGACCCATTGGTACCTGGAGTATCGGATACTCTCGAAGAGTCACCGAGTGCGACAGTCTCCGGGCGGTGGACTTGGATTTGATTCTTATGAGCTTCCGTAGCTTCTGTATTGCTGGCAATCGACGACGAGGAATGCTCGTCTCTTTGAGTAGATAGTTCCCGCTTCAGCTGCTTGATTGAATCATTCAAGGTCGACGACATCTTGTCATCGAGTTCGACCTTCACCTGCTGGATCGTAGACTCGATGCTGGCCTGAGCTCTCCGGACCGAAACCTCGATTGTGGAATTGAGCCCTCGGGCGAGACTAGATGAATTATCCTTCCCGGATATCACATCCACGACGGTTGCGATCGAGGCGTCATTAGAACGTATCGCCCCGTCCAATTGCTTGTGCTTGCTGCTCAAAATATTGAGCTGTTCGCTCGTCGAAGCGAGAACGCCAGCGACTCGGGTTACCTGAAGAAGGAAGAGTTAATTTTTGGTCTCCATCGGGTGATCAGGCTTGAGGATAGCTCCAATGATTGGGAATCAAGACTTGAATCAGGGGTCGCCTGTGAGACCGGAGTCAAGGTTGAAGACGAGGGCTCACAGATTGGTCTCGAAGCCGATTTCGAGCCGAGAATAAAGAAATAGCAGTTCGGAATACGCGTAAGGAAAGGATAGGACACTCACCCTCAGCTGGACATCACTCAAACTCTCGTTAAACTTTTCAAAATGGGACGGCATCTGTTTGTTGATTGTATTCGATATCTCGTGTCGGAGCTCTTCAGCGGAGCCGTTAACGAGTCTGAGGTTTTTGTTGATGAGCTCTAGCTGCGAATATAGATGACCAACCAGTTGCTCGATCTGGCTCTGATTGGCTCGCATATGAGTCAGTCGCTGCTCGATGTTCCGAAGTGAATCCGGGATGTGCTTCCCTTCGGCATCGGCTAGGGAAAACAAAAATACATCAATTCCTCACTTCTCGGCCTTCCACTCCAGATTAGGCCCTTGGGAGCTTGACAAGAATGCTCATCGCACGGGCTCACAGTTGATTCGAAGCAAATCAGACATCGCCTAATATAATCTCGTGAGAACAAAGCATAATGAGATGAGCACAATGAATTGTGAGTCGAACGGAGGAAAACCTTTCGATGAAGTGTCGCAGGTCGCAGTATAATGGAACCTCAGTTCAAAAGCCGCCGACGGAGAGCCTCCGCACAGGTATGGAAGTACGGACGGAGTCGGCTAATTCGAGAACCCATGATCAGGAGCATGCTTCGAGGGAATAACTCAAAACAGAAAAATAGGCTGCAGGCGGTAGATCACCTTTGACGAGATGGTTTCTGAGTAGAATGAAGTCATGTTTGAGGCCGATGTGGAGCCAGAGTAATGTGGCAGATACAACAGTGCCGATCAGCACGATCAGAAAAAGCCAGGCCGGCACCCACATACCACTGCGCGAGCTCCTGTGAATGTGTCAAAACTTCCGTTGGAGGAAAGTTCGATTGCTGCACCTCGTTTCCGCGGCTCTAGGGTGTGCAGGCCGATCTGCACCACGTTCGATCCCAGAGAGTTTATTCGTTTTTGTTGTCGTTTATCTGTTCGTTTTGTCCTCTTTTCCTAGCTCCCTTTTTCTGGACAACACCGGAGGGACGGCATCGAGTGATCGACGTGAATGAGATCCAAAGGCGAGAACTCGACATTTTACATTACACAGCAGGAGACCATCTAGTCGGAGCGGTTCAGGGAGAATTATCAGAGGTGAAGAGCCAGAAGTCCCAGCTCCTGCTCCTCTTACGAGTCGACCCTTTCTTCCAGAACGCAGCCTTTTTAAGCTTTCTCAGAACCATAAACTGACATCTGGGTCACACAAACAGCTAGCCCACTTAACATATGTGAAGCGCGTGATCATTCCGGGGGAGTTTAATCTAGTTTGGGGACTTGGGAAGCATACCGGTAGAGTCCCGGACCAATCAATAATTGCGTCCTGTAACCCCATCCGTTGCGTCTGGAAACCAGCGTGTCGGATCGGGCAGGAATTTTTTCCTAGGAGTTTCACGACGGACGCAAGATAGCCCGGAGTGGCGGTTCCTCGGCATCACCTATGTATATCTATACCGCATAGCCAGAACACGGGATAAATCGACGCGTCTCATCGTAGACCGTGGAAAGCCTCTCAAGATTGTATCGAACTCTGTCTCACGAGCTTCTGGGCTCGACTACACCTAGAGGGAAACAACGGGTGCCGCTGCCTCCGATTAAGTGCTCGATGACGAGCGACTCGTGTGGGCCAGCTTGACGAGCTGAAGTCAAATGTGCACTTACTTGCAGCAAGCCGACGGATGTTTCGGACTACCTACAGATGGGTAGCCTTCGAGGTCGGAACCGGAATCTGAATCGTTCCTGAGCAGGGGGCCCTGAGGGCCGGGAGGATATCCTCCGCTCTTGTAGACGGCTGATAGAGACTTCTGACTCTTCGCCACGAGGGCGTCGAGTTCCCGGCGCTTCTTCATCTTTTTACAGGGTACGCGAATGACAACATCGTGTCTTCGTTCAGAAACTTCCAAGTCAACCGAACGTCGGAGCATCGCCATCGTTCTTCGTTGCCTTGAGGAACAATCAACCCGAACAGCGGTCGCGACCTAACAGACGAGGACCTGCCTAGTTCACATTTGGGAGGAATCTTGGCCCGCCTTCTGGCAGCAGCACTGTTGATGTTGTCCTCGGGAGGTTAACATACACTAGGGGTTTCTCTTAGCGAGCCAGCCAGCCAGCCTCTGATTCCGAAGGCAGCCGCAGCGGCAGAAAAAGGGAGAGGGAAGTCCATGGAAAACAGGCCCATGAGACGAACGCGGAAAAGAGCGAAAGGACTCCCACTCCTCTCTCGTCTCGATTAGTTCAATGGGAAGGTCTGCAGAATCTCCGTGAACCTCGAGGTGTTTCGCACGAGACACGTTCATTACGCAAATCGATGGAGCCTGCAATGAGCCGCGTCTTGGTGTTGCAGGCAGGACAATCGCTCTCGCCGTCAAGACCGCTTCGACGGCAACAGGGGTACCGCTCTTTCCCGTCGGCGACTCCATCGAGTTTGGACAAAGATACCTGACGAGTGCGCCCCACGCGTATCTAGGTGGCGGGTGGATTTCGCACCACCTGAAGCTCTTAGAGGCCTCGGCTCCGAGAGCTCGGGTTGTGCTGATCTCTTCCGTTAACTCCGTGCGCTCAAAGGCGGGGAACCATGATGGATTCAGGCAATACTGAGAGCAAATTGTCTAGAAACATGCTCAGAGGCATTCCGGACTCGCGACGAGTTTATTCCCGAACTCAGTCAATCAATGCCTCAAGTTACGTAACTCCGATCCACCTGCATATCGATACTCACCAAGAGCTGTTTCTATCCTGTCGAGTCGCCGCGAAATTTTCACTATCAACCAGGCTTCCATGATGAGCACAGCTAATACGAAGCCATAGAGGAGACATTTGCCAATCTTCGGTAAAGAGTCCAATTCGAAGAGATTGTATCCGTTCAGCGAGAGTGGTTTATCCGCATCTCGCTTGCGCTTGCGTTTTCTTTGAACGGAAAAGTTCCGTCAGACCCGCGTGTCACAGCGGAGCTCCAGAATTCGCTACGAGTTTCGTTGACTGATTGTGGGTGAAGTTTTCATGGGAGTGAATATTCCACCCCGCCTCACCTTTTGGCGAAAACTTTTTGTCGAGGAAGACTGATCCGTAGAGTGTCGCCGCTAGAGTCGCTGTCGGACATGCTTAGCGACAACAATTTAGCGGCTTCTCTGTTGACAGTTGTCATGCTTCCGGCTCGGGTATTCCTGCTTCCTTCCGGGACACGAATTTCTGTACGGGATCACATGGCGACGCTACAAGCAACAGGTTCACCGGTCCGGCTCCCCTATCTCTTTGACAGCTTCTTACCACTGAAGAGGGCAATCAAGCACTCTCAGCGGATACATCGGCCGTAGTGAGGAGAAATCGCTAGCCAAGCCAGAAAAACATTTCCAATCGAGTTGTCGTCGAACTTCGGCATTGCCGCGGATCATTCCGAAAGATATGACAACAAGGGAGAGCAGCCGAAACGCGGACGTAAACACTTGGGAGAGAGGAGGTTCTTCTACGAACGAAAGAACAAGGACCGCCATGAGCCCATGGAGCTCGGGAGGTCACCGAGTGATACCGAAAGAGGGTACTCGCGGAACGCTTCCGACAGTAATTCAGCGTCTATTAAGTATTGAATCTCCCCGTCGTCGTGACCGGGGCCCTCCGATCCGTGAGCTTGAGCGATCTCTCTCTCCAGTGGTAGACGAGCATATGTATATCTTCTCGAAGTGTCTCGTGGGTCGACGAACATCCTTCTGGACGAGAATCCTCGGTCAAGCGAAGGACCTACCTGGGACCTACCGATTCTCAGTCTCGAATTCTGCGGGTTGTCAGTAGAAGCTACTCGTGTACGGGAATGGCCTCGAGGAAGACATCCTTCCTCGCAAATGAATACCGCATATCCTCAGAGATGCATTGAAAAAGCATCAATTGCTGGACGAGCGAGCGAAGGACCTTTCTCTCACTAAAAGTTGATTGCCTCCAATCGAGTGCCGAGTACTGAATAAATGAGCTGGCCGAATAAGCCATCGTCCATGACGTGCTGAGGCGGTCGAGGGAAGCTGCCTTTCTGCGGCAAAGAGTTGTCGCGATGAGTTCCGTCGCCAGTGATTCCGACCTACGCGGAATGGCGTATAGCCCAGAAGACGTTGAGGCCGGCTTGGGCTGGATGCGTGAGGAAGGAAGATAAGCTGCATTGACGTCATCTGGCACCCTTGGCCAGGGGTGAGAATCTTTGCGACAATGTTGCATGAGCTGACTCGCAACGAGCCCAGGCGAACCACTCGAAGTCTGGCTTTCCGAAGATTACCGCATGCTCCTTGACTTTTTTTCACACGTCCGAGAGGAAATCGGAGCCCGGTGACGAGTTGGCCGATGTATAGCTGATATCTGATTATCCCTCACGCTAGACTTATCATCATCGACAGTCCGGATATATCGACCATCGGAAGATAACCATTCTTACCATCTGGATTCGCTCCCTGATTCCGACTGCTGAGCCTGCTGCATGTCCCGATGCTGCGAGGTCGAAAGCAGTGTCAGAGATAAAGGCACGTCTAAGCGGTCTTGTAAGGAGATCGTCAATAAAATTCATGCACGAATACCTGTGTTCCCTCGAGCGATTCTCCCCAAAACCTAGCAATCTCAATGGGAGGGCTGATTCTCTGGGGACCAGATAATCTAGAGGCTTGAATAGGTCCTGCGATATATTCTGCGGCTCTAGAGCTGGGAGAATACCTTGCAGGCCAGGAATTCCTCCCATAATCGAATTCCGAAAACTACCCTGAAAACTCCGCTCGGGAAGCGCTACGGACGCATACGGGAACGTCCTAAGCTGGAATACGGCGGCCCAGTGTCGAACGCTGTGTTCCGGATTGATGTCTTCACGTCATCAGTCTTCATTCACCCGAGAGAAAAAGCGATGGACCAGGTCGGACCCGATGAAGATCACCGAGATTCCATTCGCGACGAGACCTTCCGCCAGCCCTTGAGCTCCTGGTCAGATCATCTGCCGACAATGAGAGAGGACACTCATGCGGACGACGGGATTACACCTTGTCGGCGTGCTCATCGACGGGGAAGATTTCATTTCCGTCACACAGAATGTTCAGGTTCCTATCCGTGATTCGAAGGGCGAAGTCTGCCGGGTGACCCCACAAAAGAGGGCTCGTCGGGGGTAAGAGACTTCAACGTTGTTGGCGGATTGCATGAGCTCCGACAAAGAATATGCCGCGCCGTCGCGGACGTGGATAGCCGTCCACAATGCCATCGGAGCGTCGCCGAAGGCCGACGTCGGTCTGAAAGAGAGAAGGAATTCCCTACGCGAGGAGTCCGAAAATCCACACCTCGTTCCCGGCAAGGTGCAGGGAACTTCTGTGGAAACTTCTCGAGGTCTTAGAGATGGATGCGCGTCTTGATGTCACGTGTGGACCGCTTTCGGCCATCCTCCGATTGGTCGAACTCTCTTCGGCTGGGGAGAAAAACGCGTGTATGAGCGCTGGCGGAGGTGGGGCTCGTGTAGGACATGTTCCCACCATCGCGCAGTATCCTCACACAGGAGCCTGCCTACTACCCTTGTTCCCGATCGAATGACCTCAAGAGCCCTCATTTCGCCTCCGATTGATGAAGTGTCGAAAGTTACCAAACTTCACGCTAAGGGATCCTGAGCCGATATCTTGATATTCGCGGTGCTCTCGCTATCGCATCGCTCATGGTCCTCCGCCCGAACGCTCCCCCGAAAGAATAACTTGCATGCGATCTCTTATCCGACGCCTGATCGAGGGAGCTTCCAGAGAATAGAAGACATGGATCGGGTGGGTTATACTTGCATCGATATCCTTCGAAACCTCACGAACTCTGGAGGTTCGTCGCCTTTTCTGCGAATCGCAGATCGACAGTCCAGTGGATTCGGCCTGACAATCGCCCGACCTTCCGATCCCTATCTCCCGAATCGCGATTCCTCGAGTTCCATCGCCTTGAATGAGCCCTCCTCTGTTTCAGACGCGCAAGAATCGGCAGAGGATTCATCCGAGGAGCCGCGATTCAAGAAAATTCGGCTCGAGGGTCTGCGGCTCGGGTATTCGGAAGTGCACCCCCTCCTCCTGAATATCCCGCCTCCTGGAGTTGGTTTCTCATCCTCTGGGAGCCGAAGGGAAATCGATTTACCGGAACCGAATTCGACGAAACGACACCTTAATCCCCAGTCATCGTCGTTCATTGATTTGCGCTCGCGTTTTGAATTCGACCGCCCTCAGCCACCCCAGTGCCACCTGGCTCCCGCGCGCCAATAGGACAGCAGCGCCCATCGTGAGGGAGCGCCCTCTGATGGACAAGAGCGGCGACAGTAGCAGAGAGACGGCTATCGTATAAACAAAGCGACCAGTTGTTCGAATGGTGTTTTGTCCGTGATTTTTCAAGTGTTTTCGGCTTTTTCGTTTATATATTTTGTGTTGGTGACGTCGAGCCTTCTTCAGGGCGCCATGTCAACGGAAGGTTAGTGTCTTGGGGGCGTGAGCTTCGAGTCTGGGATCGATTAATTGTCGTTGCGACCGCATTTCGCTCTGCACTGACGAGAAACCTTTGAAGTAATCGAAATTTCCCCTCGATCGAGGAAGGATTTCCTGGGAATACGCCGATATTCGTTTGCTTTGAAGTCTGTTCGCACCGAATCCTCGCTTATTCGTCCTAAATGCGCGTCATGCTTTTTTACGAGGCGCGCTCCGCTGAAAGTTCTGGCGCCACAAATAATCAGAATATGATGTGGACGAAGTTCTGACCTAAATTGCCCGCTGAGGGCTCGAGTTCCCGGCTACGGGAGGTCGCTCGTGCTCCTTGAGTAATTCGTTGACTATCTGGGATTCGGGGAAGGCTCAACGAGAAGACTCCAGACCTTCCTGGCTGAGCCTCCTTCAACCTACGGCGGTTATCATTGGTTCAACGCCGGCTGCTTGCAGTGCGACCGCGGTCGCCCAACTCGCTCCGCACGAATGTCAAAGCGACCGGAACGAATTTTCCGGACTCAGATCCCATGAATATAGTATTTCGAGCCCTCGGAAAGTCTTCACCCTCTTGATCTGATCTTCGGTACTCCCGTTCCGCCCTCGAAACCTGTGGGTTATACGTGTCGTAATAAGCCTCTTGGGGCCCCCCTGAAACCTGGAAATCAACTCTTCCATCGTTTTGAGACAGCGAGTAACCTAGGGCTCTCCTGCTGTAGACATATGACCGGTTTGATAGCATCCGTTCAGTTATGAAAGCTCCACTGATCGTTCGATGGCCAGAAGATCTCGGAGCCAGATTGAATCGATTCGGCGCCCGTGACCGCGGGGACCACCGTTCACGTTTCTCCCTGACTGCTAGTCGGGGGTGCTCGCGATAGAGAAGTCGAACGCGTCTTTCTAAAAAACTCCATGCTCCTCGCCCTTCCACTCGATCAGGCTCGATACTTATGAAATGGAATAATACTCCGGGCTCCCACCTGCTTATGAAAGTATCGGTCGCCATGATATCAATCCGTAGGGAACATATTACCTTCTCCTGCCTCCCGAACGGACCTATTACGTATGATTGAAATTCTCTGGAACAATAATTTCAGGCGCCACGGCGCTCGAGCCCATGGACACGTCGCCCTGTGGGGAGCCACCATCTCAGACTCTACCGAATGGCCATAGTTCGCCGACAGATAGCCTTTTCCCCAATGGGGAAATCAAACAAGAGGCTGGAGCGAACGACTCTCACATCAAAACCGAATCCCCGGACACGATTGCATCCGTTCAAACCCTCGACAGTGTTGTGGACCAGGTTGCTCAGCAGCAGCAGCAGCTGCCGCAGCTGCAAGGTCCGCCGATGAGGAACGGTGATCCTAGTGTTCCGATTCTGCCAGCCGAGACCCAGAATTCGACAACATCAGAGAGAACCACAGCGTCAGCCAATGCTGCTGCTTTCCCGTCAACGAATGGAAGATATACCCCGCAATCAATCCTGCCTCAGTCATCGACGGCATCCACGGAGCAATCCGCTCAGCAACCGAATTCAGCATCAGACGGCCGTCAATCCACACCTGTACTCGTAAATGGAGGCACGACGAACAATAGCATACTTCAAGCGGACCTCAAAACGGAACCGCAATCTAAATCGGAGCTCTCAATCCAAGCTGTACTCGAGTTCCTAAAAAAGCATAATTTGCAGGTGAGTCCTTCTAGAGCCACTACTTATTTTTATTGCTCGTCATCGATCTCTCGGAACTTTTTCAAAAAATATTTCTGTCGAAGTCTCCAGTGACTTTACACTCCGGCGTGGCGAATGAGACCACCTCCATCTTTGAACCCTTTGCTTGCTCCGAGAGGACGCCACACGGGCCTCTATGGAGACTCGCGATAATATGACGCTCGTGTGGATGTCGATCCATTTGAGCGCCAAGTACTGAGCGATGACTTGGCGATTTCTCTCTCGAATCTCACGCATGTACCGGTAGTCTTTGGGATTGACATGGAGCATTTGTGAACTCGAGTGAATTTCCATACCTCACCCTGGTTCAACGCATCGGGACTTTCGCGTATCCAGACATCCCACGACGTTTGCTGGAGACTGAAGCCGTTCAATGGTATCATCGCACATTAAGGCTCTCGTTCGCTCGCGACCCGAAGCCGCTTAGTCGAGGAACCAAGAGTTCAATCCTTTGCGTGTATATTCAACCGCCAAGAACAAAGCTCCTGAGGCGGGAAAGGTCCTCAAGACGGTCGGTAATAGACCATTGTACAGCGCGAGAACTCCTTCATGTCTAATGATTTCTCGGAGAACGTTCAATGCGCTCTGTTTTGACTTCCGTGAGATTTGCATCCGCGACTTGATGACATCGGCTGGAAAAATCGACACCCACAAGCAGGTTCCTCCGATCCCTGGAAAACACAGTCGCGTTACATTCGATATAGGAAAGGATCTACGGTATCGGCGGCCAGGGAAACGATTACGATCGCGTCTAGGTCGCGTCATCGCAACCACTCTGGTTTCAATTGATGCTGTTTTGGAAACATTCGAAACAGAAACAAACCTCCGGCAATAATCGTTTTGATTGGTCCGATATCGTCTTTCGCGACGTTTGGAGGAGCGAGCAAACTCCTGCTCAGTTCGTAGCCTCCGAAAAAGAAGAAATATCCCGGCATTTCTCGCACGAAAGTTGGCGTTAAGCCCCTGAAGAAGCCTCGGAGACCTTCTTGCCGCCAAATGTCCCCAGTGAGTTGAAAAGCAGATGTTCCAGAGCACTGTGACGTTTCGCGCAGGGCTTGTAAGCGGCATTTGACGAGCTCGGTGGGGCACAACGTCAGGGACGAGAAGAACGCCGCGAAGAAGCCCGCCGTCGCGTTTTGCAGGGGCGTGAGATCGTTGATCTTATTCACGCCGGACACCTGCTGAACTAATTTCTGGCAGAGACCATACGCACAGAAGAGAACCGAATTTTCGGCTATGTTCGCCGCCAGGGCTGGTAGGGTCCCCGCGTAAAGCCCACGCACAACTCCGTCCTGTCGGAGTGTTTTCGAAAAACATTGCAGCGTCGAAGGATATAGCTCGGGGTATGCTTGCATCTTCACCTGGAAGCGATTTAGTCGTTATATGACAGAGATATCCCCCAGCTTTCCGCAGTAGTCGATGCAGCCAGGATTCTCAGCGAGAGGAGCTCGACTAACCTTGACGGTGTCCAATGGCTGCCCCACGACCACATTAGCAGTGCCACCTGCTGTCCCGGCAGCGAGGCTGATAGCTGCTGAGGCAAAACTGTGATAGTTTCTGTCGTCGAGTCTTCCGGAGTCCTTTGACGTTACCGAACGTTCCATTGGGGGTTCTAGGCGGGCGTATCTCCTAGAGCTCGATCAGACGTCATCTGGCGTCTGCTTGCTCTAAGAGTTATGGAGATTCCACATCGTTGGAAATGATTCCGCGACGCGTCGAGTGTGTTCGAATGCAGCTACAGAGACATTCTATCGGAGAGCGGCGAAGGCATGGTAAGAATAAGGCCTCTCTCCAAGGCGATAGATAACGGGCGATATAAATCCTCGTGGTCGACAGCGCTCCCCTAGCTGTAGATATGAGCGATGAAGTCTGCAACAAATATGGAAGTACATTACTCCTCAACACGGAGACCTTCGGACATGTGCACAGAGAAGGGTTAGCCGGGTTATTTTCCTTCAACTTGATTCTCACTCGGGTCTATCAAACCTTCGGGTAGCTCGATGGGTATCTCGAGCGCATTACAATCATCGAGCCGGCCGATATGCTTCCGCGAGAGGATGCTTTAGCGAACACGAATTCGTTCCACAGTCAGAGAATTGCGACACGCGCAGAGTGTGAATTTATTGATGGTTGAACGCATGAACGCAACGCAAATGATTGCGATAATGGGAAGGGGGGATTCCTCAAGGTGATCTTTTTTGGGAGACAGCAGACCACGATCAGGAGTCTCAACGAGGGATATGATTATGTCACTCGTGCGCGAATACTCTCCCGATCCTCGCCCTTCCCGTCTCCGAAGATCTAATCGATCCTGTTCGGAACATCTTCTTGCAGGAAACGGAAAAAATCTTGAAACGCGAGTCAAAAGTATCGCCGCTAGCCGATACTTCGGGCTTGAGTCGAGAACTCGATGGAGACATGGCAATCTACAGATCCGAAGGAGATCCCGATGCCTACGAAGGCGTTTACGAGTCGCTGAAAACCTTCGTAGAAACGGCTCTGGACTCGTACCGGCACGAACTTTCAGTCATCCTCTATCCCTGCTTTGTACATATGTATCTAGAGCTTGTGTATAATAATCACTCGCGGCAAGCCGAGTCCTTCATGGAAAGGTTCGTTGTGCAACTTTTGATCGAGAGGACGGACTCTCGGACCGATCCTTCTGAGTGACTGATCTTTTAAATATCTGTCTGCTCATATTCGATTCACTTTCCCACAGGTTCGGTCCTGTGCAAGAAGAATACTTTCAAGACGACATCCGACAATTATCCGCGGTTCGTCGAAGAGAGCAAATGGCTGAGTCGCTGCTGATGCAGAATTTCCGCAGCGGACAATATACTGTCAGAATGTGCAAGGACACTTACAACGCACTCAAACGATATTTGTCGGACAAGAGAAACGCTTCCGTGAACAACATAGTCCAGGAGAACATTTTCGTTGATGTCTACGAGGGTATAGCGAGGAGTCGGCAGCAGGTCGAAGCCGTCAGCGGCAGTGCAATGGGGGAAGCGAACAAGCAGATGAATAAGATCAAGGTCTTCTTCGGACTTCCCAAGGTGAGTCCGCTGCCTTCATACCGCGCGAGGAATATCTGTCGTTGAGTTATCGAGATGGACGATAGAAGGTCCGCCGGATTTTCGCGGACTCATAATAATTGATCATTCTTTACTCTCAGGAACCGACCATCATCGTGGAAGAAGAGGAAGAAATCGGCGACGACGGAGACGGCAAACCCAAGAAGAAGAAATCGAAAAAGGATTCTTCGATGTCGAAAAAAACTCGAGCAGATCCCAATGCCCCACCTTCGAACCGGATACCATTCCCAGAGTTGCGAGACGCAGACAAACTAGATCGAATCAATGCGTCGAAGGATGCGACTAAGCGAGTTCGTCTCGGGCCAGGATCCCTCCCGAGCATATGTTTTTACACACTCATAAATAGTCATCTCCAAGCATGTGGTACGCGTCGGATTTCCGTTACGAATAGGAGGGTAAACGATTATCCAAGATCGGGATCCTCCCGAAAACCAGGGATATTTTTTCTGACGGAAGTCATCTCTCCCGCAGCCGTGGAAATCAACGATGAAGCGTCGATGATGGCCGTCGGCTTGCAGGACAGCCGGATAAAGGTTTTCTCGCTGACTCCATCGAAATTGAAAGCGATGAAGAGTGCGCAGGACCTGGAGACAGTCGACCGCGAAGCCGATGATGTCCTCTTCCGTATGATGGACGAGAAGAACGCGTCTGAGGCCAAGATCCTGACCGGTCACCAGGGACCCGTGACGTCTCTGAGCTTCAGGTGAGTTCTTCGCCTTCTCCGAGTCGATCTCGCGCAATCAGCGTGGCCCGCTGGTGATCACTCGATTAAGAGCTCTGTGTTCTCTTTTACAGTTCGGACAAGCAGTTCTTGCTCTCGGGATCCGAAGATGGGACGATCAGACTGTGGTCTCTCCTAACATGGTCGAACGTTGTCGCCTATAAAGGCCATGTTTTCCCTGTTTGGTCGGTCCAGTTCGCTCCCGCGGGATACTACTTCGCGTCCTGCGGGCACGATCGGACGGCGCGGCTATGGGCCACGGATTCGTATCAACCGTTGAGGGTGTTTGCCGGTAAGCTAGGGAAACGTGCGTTTGAAGAAGACGCCAGAAGCGCATCGCTTACATCACGCAACCAATGATCAAAATGATGAATCGATTCCGACGATTTCTTCTTACTCCTTGATCTGACGCTTGCAGGACACTACTCGGACGTTGATTGTGTGCAGTTCCATCCGAACTCTAATTATGTTGCTACGGGATCAACCGATCGCGCGGTTCGATTGTGGGACGTACTCAGCGGTCAATGTGTGCGCTACATGACGGGTCACAAGTCAACGATTCATTCTCTAGCTTTTTCGTCGTGTGGTCGCTTCTTATGTTCCGCTGGGGTCGGTGGCCGTATTCTTGTCTGGGACATCCATTCCGCTCATCTCCTCGCTGACTTATGGAGTCACACGGATACAGTTCATCAGCTGTCTTTCTCGAGAGAAGGCACCATCCTGGCGTCGGGCGGCATGGACTGCTGTGTGAAGGTGTGGGACTTCAGCAAGCTGGTCAGTGAATTCGATCTTGACGAAATGTCGTCTAATGCACCGATGGTGAGAGTTGCGACCGAAGGTTCCTCTGACGGTTTCCTGCTCTCGAGCTACCCTACCAAGAGCACATCGGTTCTGGCATTGCACTTCACTCGAAGAAATCTATTACTCGCCGCCGGTTCCCCCGTTTGACGGACTTGTCGATGCTTAGACTTAGAACCTACATACCAGCACACAAACGCCTCTCGGAGCTCGTGTAAATAGTCTTCGACCTATACGCTGCTGCATCCACCGCGACTGTGAAGGATGACGCGCGCATCAGTGTCCAGCAGCTGACAGAATGGATGGATAGATAGATATATATAATCTATTATAATTTTATGTTTATCTCCCTTGTAAATTATAAAGTGGAAAATCTAAGAGAGAGGAATAGAGACAGAGAAAGTTGAAATGAACTCTCGCATCCTGTGAACCCCCATCGAAGCCATCCGCACGGCGGTTTTCGGCTCATGTTTTGTGGTTCTCGAAAATGAATCGACAGGGGTTTAGATCTCGTTGCCGGCTTGATGTTACTCGCCACAAGGGCCACTGTGAGTGTACAATTGTAAAATTAGATAGAGGAAACTATTAGTCGGCGGCATGTGTGCTTTCCCAGTGTCAAAAACGGATTGGTCAGAGAATCGGAGCAGACGGGCTAAACTGGATGTCCATGATTAATCAAGATGTTACGTATTATACTTTTGTCTACCATGATCGACGTTGTAAAAAGTGGAGGGGAGAAAGTGCAGACGGGAGCTGTCAGACTAAACGCAAAATATATTCTAATATAGACCGACAACACACATGCGGAAGCTTGGCGAGATGGGTTAATAATATAAAGATATTATTATTCAGATTAGCCCTGGGTAAGCACTTTCAACGAAACTCACCGGACTCATTGCTCGAGTGGCTGTACGGGAGAAACGGACTTTCCTCAGTCGGGAAAGATGTACAGCCATCCTTCCCGAGCAATTTCGGAGTCCGTAGCTGAATCTTCTCGCGAATCAAACGCGACCAGAAGAGACAGGGCAGACAGTCTTCCGAATAAAAACCAAAAAGTCGAGTCGGTTGACCGTGAGGTTGAGTCAAAGGAGTGTTCTCTCTTCAATACCCCCGCTTCGGATGACAGCAAGATCCATGAGTTCTACCGTTGAAACGGAACATCGGGAAGTCGATGATGTTTCGACTAGACAACCCAAGAGCCCTACCATCCGACAAGCTACGGTCTGTCCTCACGCTCCCCGAGCCTGTCGGAGGACCGGCGAGTTTCGTACAGTCTCTGGCGTGATCACACGTCGAGTTTCTCTACGAATCCTTGATAAATCACAGCCGTTCTTTGAATAAAACAGTGAGAAGGCAAGCCGCAGGCAAAACTCGTCGATTTCCTTCTTCGGAGAAGGGACATTTACCTATTCGACTCACTGTAAGGAACGCGTGGCAGAAATTCATCTCGACTCGCCCAATATCGAGCCATGTCATATTGGTTTTGGGAAATCGATGCTGATTCCTATCGAGGTTCACTGACACCTCACGAGGTCCCTACCGGACCCGGAGCTAGGTAACCGATGATTGGCTCCCCAGACGCATTGATGAATCGATTGAATGGTTGATTATTATTGATATGTCACATACGAGTTAATCCATCTGACCGTAATAACATGAAGACATCGGATGTAAAATACAGAGGGTTTATTCCGAGTTCACCGATGATCCTATTATTTCTTAGCTCCAGTACGTAACTTCTCCACGCTCGTCACACCGGAAGAGGATGTACGAACCTTGAATGCACCGAGCATCCTTAGATGGCTTTATGCCCCCGATGCTGTGTCCGAAATCTCAGAGTTTTTCCGATTCAAGATGAATGATGTGTCCCATGGGCGTAGTAAACTCATTTACGCAGGAAATTACTCTCCATGGCTCGACTGGATCTCTGCAGACCTTGGTGCTTGGCCTTGAGACGCATTTCAACAGTTGACGAGTCTACGGCTTTAGCTAACATTTCTGGCCCCCGGAAACCACCCTCTTTGTAGCCTTGGACTTCGATCGAATCCGATTTTGTGTGCCTCTTGACGTACTCTACCCGCTCCTTCTCGTGGGCAGCCGCATCCTGTTGCATCTCTCGGAGTTTCGTCTCCTTTTCCTCCTGAGTCATCTTGCGGGAATGTCGCTCTCTCAACTTTATACTGAGTTGTTTTCGCTCCTCCTCCTCCTTCTTCCGCCGATCCTCAAGAATTGTTCTGTAATCCTTCTTCTCATGGCAGTCTTCACGGTCCCTAGCTCTTGAGCTCCGTATTAGACCGAAGCCATCATCTCGCTGTCTTGGCGTGTGGTCCTCGGTACGCTTCTCACGCTCCGGACTTCGGGAGTGCCTCTGCCTCCTGCTTGGGCTCCGGGAGTCCTGTCTCCTCTGTGGACTCCTGGTGCCATGTCTTTGATTCTGACTCCTTGAATCATGCCGTCTTCGAGGGTTCTTCGGACTCGAGGACCGTCCGCGACTTCTCGCACTCGGTTTCCCGCCGTCGCGATCACCTGCCACTCTCCTCGCGTCTTCGGGACTTGACGCGGGTCGTCTCGCCCTCTCGGGAGTCCTTGACCGCCTGCGATCCGAAGGACCGACTTTCCTGCTCGATGACCTCGATCGTTGACGCCCGCACGGGCTCGCCGATGAACGAGTCGTGCGTCTTGGACTTGGGCGGTCACTTGTCGAGCGGTACTCTCTTGAATCCCTCACGTGTTTCCTTGGAGCAGACGGTGAAATTCTGGATTTTGGCTTGCTTGTCCGGTCCTGTTTCTCATCAAGATCTTGATCCGCGGAGAGTTTCATCAGCTTTTGTCTATACCTAGCGATCTTCGCGTCAATATCTCCTTCGTCGAGGTCAGAGTCGTCATCGCTATCCTTCTTCTTTTTTCGCTTCTTAGATTTCTTGTGTTTCTTGCTTTTACCAGATTTTTCCTTAGCGATCATCTCTTGGAGCATCTTCAAACGCACCGGATTGCTCAACAGCTGCTTCCTCGATTCGTATTCCTGTTTTCTTATCATGTACAGCGGATCTTCGCGAACCTTGGTTGCCATGTCGACCGGTGTGAGGTCCGAGTCATCGTTCCTTCGCCGGAACAGTTGACTCGGTAGCCCGTCACCGCCCGAGCTCTCCGCCGTCTGTTTATTCTGCTCCTCCGCTGCCTGAATCACGTCGAATGTTTTATCGACTTTCCGGCCCAGCAGGTAATCCTCGCGATCGACCAGGGCCGTCACTCCTTTGTACATCCAATCCATTTTATTTTTCTTCTCTGTCGAGCCTCTCGCTTCGTCGTTCAGATCCTGCCGATGAAGAAGAGAAGTTTAGTTTCGGAGCTGATCTACAGAGCGGCTCCCTTGTACGGAAACCCGATCAGGAACCTCGGATAGCTGCGGAGGAGAATAATTTGATGGTACCCATATCTGTTTCCTGTGGTCGTATATTCGCCATGCCCCTCACCTGATAATGCTCCTTCTCTCTCTGGTGCTGAAGTTCCTGATGCAACTCTTCCATTTTCTTCTTCTCCATTTCCTCCTGCTGTTCAGCTTTCCAGACACGTTCCTGATTTTTCAGTGTGCTCGGATGCCAAGACTTCTTGAGATTGAGATTTCCCCCGCCCATGATGGGGATCGTTTGATGCGGCAGCGAAAATGAAAATGAAGACCGAGGGTGCGAGACCTCGAAGGAGAGGATTCCCGGAGAGAGGGAGGGTAATCCCTCTACGGACGTGAATTCGCCTTATTGTCCTCGGATATGCGAAGGAAATTGGACGCGGTTCATCGCGCCGGAATACTTCAAGGGCATCAAGTCACTTGCCGGTCGAATGGTTGACGATGGACTTTCTGAGACTGAGATCCTCAAACGACCCAGTAAGGGACTGACCTCGAGTGCTGCCTCAGACCGAGAGATAAAATCGGGAGCAATTTTGTGTTGGATTCATCGCAGTGTCGTTTGTCAGAATTAGAGGGCTCGAGCTGCGAATCCGATGCTTGTTCTCCTTCCGGGACATACGAACCTTTCACGCCGGGAACGCCGTTGCTTTCTGATGCTGCTTATGCTTTCTACTCCATAGAACTCTCTTCACGGATAGACCGCTAAAACTATTTGAACCCCTTCAACAGAGTGCTGATCCGCACCATGAGATCTCTTGTTCCGCAATTCGAACGACCACGATGAGAGAGGAGCTTGTTTGTAAACAAGCCGGCAGCCGCAGCAGCGAGAGATACACCGCCGCCGGCGTGCGGCGGATGAATGCATTGAATTTTGGAGTTGGGGTGCCGAATCGAATCAGAGCTCTTCGAGAGCCCCGATTAACAAAACAGACATCATTTCGAATGCTCGCAGGGGGAAATGGGAACCGTCTCGATTCCGTAAATCGTTGAATGATTTTTGTTCGGACTGTACTCGCTACCATGGCGGAGGAGTTATGCCCAAGAGACAAGACCACTGCGAACGGCGAAACGATGCAGCATGTGTTTTTCTTCTCCTACAGCTGTGAGTGACCGACAGCAGAGGACTCCGGACACCAGTCGTATCAGGGAACCGGAGTCGGCATCGAGTTCGCGCGCAGGAAACTCCCGCGTTCGGAGATCGACAGGAACACTGTGCTGCGTGTGAGGTGATGTGGCTGCTCGAAGTCTGATTCGACCTTCCGGCTTCGGTGAACGCGAGTCTAAGGCCGCAATGTTGAGCAAGCTCATCCTGCATCCGTGCGGTAGCCTCTTGCCGCGCTGCGCTTCCAGAGTCCAGCTGTTCGGCGTGAACGCACTCCATCGCCGGGCATGGAAGCCTAGGTTCCGTCAGAGTTCGACGAAGGCAAATACATCTTCCGAAGTGAGACGGATTTTCTCGTACATAGGACCCGAGAAGAAGACGCTCATTGCTGCCATCGGCTTACTTGGTGTCAGCTCCTTCGCGACTCTAGTCTTCCCGTTCATCATCGGACGAACTATCGACACAATAAATCAAAGTGCGACCAAAGCCAAAATGATGGAGAATCTCAACTTCATCGTCGCCGCGGTAGGGGGAATCGTTGTCATCGGCGGCGCCGCAAATTACGGCCGTGTGTACCTGATCAATATTGCGTCTCAACGGATAACAAACCGTATCCGATCCGCGGCGCACAGCGCGATTTTGAAGCAAGAAACAGCGTTTTTCGATACTCAAAAAACAGGAGAATTATTGTCGAGACTCTCGAGCGACGCGGCCCAGATGGGCAACTCGCTGACGCAAAACGTATCCGACGGCCTTCGATCTCTTCTAGCCATCCTAGGCGGAACAGGGATGATGGTGTACACTAGTCCACAGTTGAGCCTGGTAGGATTGAGCATCGTCCCACCGGTTGCTGCATTCGCCATAGTTTACTCCAAGAAATTGAAAAAGGTCGCCAGCAACGTCCAGTCTAAGGAGGCGCTCTCGAACGGTGTCGCCGAAGAGCAGTTCTCGAATATCCGTACCGTTCGGATGTTCACCAAAGAATCCCAAGAGATCGAACGATATTCAGATACGCTGAAACTTGTGCTCGATGCGCGATCGGAGGAGGCGAGGAAGCGCGCGATATTCTTCGGCACCACGGGAGCCACGGGAAATATTATCATAACTTCGGTATTGTACTACGGAGGTGTACTGATGGCGGACGGCTTGATCACTGTGGGCAGCTTGAGCTCGTTCTTGATATACGCAGCCTACGTAGGCATATCAATGAGCGGTTTGAGTACATTCATCTCGGAAACGATGAAAGCCATCGGCGCCTCTCAGAAAATCTGGACGTTGATAGATCGGCAGCCGAGCGTGCCTTTGAATAGCGGGAAAACCTTGGAGAACGTCGTTGGCTGCATCGACTTCCGGGGTGTCGACTTCCGATACCCTACGAGGGACGCTAATATACTAAGTGAGCTTGAGCTCCGGATCCCCGCGGGGAAGGTCACCGCTGTTGTTGGCCCATCCGGCTCCGGCAAATCCACCTTGGCAGGACTCATCCTCAGATTCTACGATCCGAGCGCAGGCGCCGTGTTTCTCGACGGACTCGATATCACCGAAGTGAATCCGACCTCGCTTCGTAGTCACATCGGGGTCGTATCGCAGGAGCCTGTTCTGTTCTCAACGACCATCGCACAGAATGTCGCCTACGGGAGCCTGAAGCCCGTGAGCTCCGCAGACATCGAGGACGCTCTCCGTCAAGCAAACGCCTTAGATTTCGTGCGTGACTTCCCGAGTGCTCTGGACACCATGGTCGGGGAAAGAGGAATCATGCTCTCAGGCGGCCAGAAACAGAGAATCGCAATCGCGAGAGCCATCCTTCGAAATCCCAGGATCCTGATCCTCGACGAAGCAACGAGTAGTCTTGACTCGATCAGTGAGAGACAGATCCAGGAATTCCTGGAGCAATTCGCTGCTGGACGAACCGTTATCGTGATTGCGCATCGATTGTCGACGATACGCCGTGCTGACAACATAGTGGTTCTCAAAGGGGGGCGTATAGTCGAGGAAGGCCTATTCGAGGACCTCCTCAAGATTGAGAACGGAGTCTTCAGTGATTTGGTCAACCATCAGATGCGGCACAATGATGTCTAGTGCATAAAATTAGAACGCAATACAAAGTTGTATTTACCTTGTCTCCCAGTTGTGCATTAAACTCCCTCACACCATCGACAGCGATCTGGTCGACGATACGATATGTGTATTTTTGTGCTTCAAGAATATAATATGGGCGTCGATGAGGAGCGGTGATGACTTATCGGACAGAATAAACTTGCGTTTGAGACATTTCTCAGCCTACTTCCCCCGTCCAAACCCAGCCTCTCCCGTCGTAGCAGGGGCGAGGCTACCGATGTCCTATTCGAAAGAGTATCGATTTCCGAATCCTCCAAGATAGTACACAGCTTGACTGTAGCTCGAAAAGGGAGTCGCGCGGAAGCATAGTAAGGAGGCCGCGGTCCATTGGAGGATGCGTACCTGTCCATTGTCGAAGTCGTTAGCTTTTGTCACTTCGGTGGATCACTGGAGCCACACTCCACCCAGGAGTACCTTCAATCGAAGGCGTGGATCCCACAACTCACCCCATGGTTGTTCATGAGGCTCTCGGAATTGTGTCTTCCGGATCCGCCCTCTTCCTGTTTCTTTGATCCTCGAGCCTCATGCCCCGACGAGAGCCCAGAAGTTCAGCGACGAGGGGTTCTCTATCAAACGTACTGGTCGAGTAAAATATTCCCTACCGTCGCCCTACGAGGAGCGCGGATCTATCAGCGGAGTTTCAATTTTTATCGATTCGAAAAATTCACAACTGGCGGACTCCTTCGCCGGCACCGACCGTGCGCGGAAATTCCACAGGGTAGAATTGTTCTTTTGAACCGATTTCTTCGATGGACGACGAATCGTTCCGGAAGTGGTCCCTCGCTCCTTTTCTATCGATTCAAGTGCAAGGTCGTCAACCCCAAAAAGAGAGCGCTGCTGTAGTGGTGGCGGCGGCGCACGGCGAACTAGGAAGCGATTCTCCGCGACGGGGACCGCTGACCTCGATATGGATTGACATTGCGGCTGTCCCGGAAGAGAACTCAAACCTCTGTATCCTACAGAAAGGAGTCCGCCCATCGACTCCCTCAGTTACATAATAAGCTCTGACGACCTGTTTTGCAGCGGACTTCCGCAACTTCGTCCACCCGTTTCCAGGTCATCGATGGAGTTTGAAGCCAACTCTGCGTGCAATCCAAAAGTTATTGAAGGCTCCTGATTAGCAAGTCGATGCGTGCGGTTCGCGTAAATCCATAGCCGGGAACAATGATATGGGGAAAAGTCCTATACATTAGTAGGTACACATATCAGTTCTTCCGTAGAGAGAGAAGATCCGCATTCAGGGCTGCATACCATGGCCGATTGCTCTTGGACCGCTTTCTAGGCGGGATTATGAGCGGAGTCTGCTGTCCTAGATGATTGATGCGGAAATCCGCTTCTGAATGAGTCATCGTAGCTCTTCTAGGATCAGGAGTTCGAGACCGATCCCGGCTTGCATAGTGTTTTATCGGGGAGCACGGATCTAGATGTGTTCGGCTTTCATGAAGCATCCGAGGAGCTAGCTTCCTCTGAGAATCTGTCTATCGACAGCGCGGCGACGGATCGCAACCCAAATTACGTAAGCGTGTGGCCTATTTGGCTGAATTGCAAGGCATCACAGCTGCGCACGAAATGGCCTGAATATATATAGTTCACTTGATCTGGAGCAGACCTATTTCATTCTCGGAAACCTGATGCCCGAGGCCTCGATTCACTAGGTGATCGAGAAACACCGTTCCTTCCCACCAATCCTCCGGATTCTTATTAGTGGATCGGTCGAGAGCATGTGAATCAATGACGAATGCCGTCGGGAAAGAGCAATAACTTCTCCAACAGACGCTGATGATCATTCGGTCGACCGAGTCCCTTCAGCGAGTCGAGAGAAAATAATTTCCTCAAAATAGCATTCGACGACAATTATTTCTCTGTAAACGATGCCAGTATCCAGCACCTCTCTCACGAACGTGTGATCAAATCACGATGAAATTCCTCGAGGAAGCTCGAGAGAATTATTGAATTCGCCGCGAATCGTTCCTAGAGCGATCGTGAGCTGCGTGATGCAACTCGCGCGGCCGACAGGAGAGCAGGGACGCGAAAAGTCCGCCCGAAGTTAATCCTTTCAGCGAACCCGACTGCCGACTTTCCTGCCCTGGAACGAGGAAAATCTCTTTGGTAACGGCATCTCAAACGCCAGAGCGTCTTCATCCTAGTGCGGTTCGGCTTTGGTCGGACAGCAAAATGACCTGGATTTTCAGAAAACCCTCTACCGAATGTATTCGAAACGAACATCATTCTGCCTTCGACCATCATCAAGTCACGGGCATCGATTCTTCGAACGATTGACTGAGACCTCACATATACCGAGTAGTCCCATTCTCATCGGAACCGCCTCTGGAAACATGGTTGTTCAGATAACGGAGTCCCGAGCCTCTCGCAGAATATGGATTCGGGTAAGATGCTTCACGGGGATGTTCAGGACGGAAACAAAAAGGAGGATGTCTGAACAGGAAGGCATTCGCCCTCTTCGGGAGACGTGTCGCGAAACTCGTCAGAAATGATGGGAGGAGGGATCTTTTGTGTCATTTTTTGGATTTCCCCTTCGCCGATGCGTTTGGCAATGCCCGTTCCGCTTGCCGCATCCAAACACACGTCTCCGTTCCAGGGACTCAAGAGGAGAATGCGGGCGACAACAAACGGCTTCGCCAGAGGCGACTCGCTAGTGATTGTGTTTGCTTCGCTGCATCTTTGCTCGCCCATTCTTCTCGCAGTCAGATCCCTCGTTTCCCTCAATCGACGTGAAGAAATCATTTGAGGCTCAGCACATCGCTCTGCTGTACGCCCAGTGGAGGGACATACGCTTGAAACGAGAGTAAGCGCCTACCGGCCGGCCTCCATTGCGTAGCGACACACTCTGGACGAGATCACTCCTCGGCGATCGATGACGACTCAGTTTCAATGAATTACTCTTGTTTGCAAAACTTGGAACGTCATCGACGACTGTGTCCTGATTAAGGGGATTCTGCGCATTCGACTTAGAACAGCTTTTCTCCCGAATTTCGCCAGCGTGCGATTAAAAAACGGGATGCTCAGGCGAGCTATCATCCTCGTTCCTGATGAAGCCAGATTCGGGATTTCTCACGTTTGGGACCAACTTGTACAGAGGACGCCGATTGACAGATCTCAAGAAGAGATCCAAATTAGTATTATAAGAATTCGAAAACATATTCCAATATCCGAGCTGCAATAAATTCCAACACGCGTGAATGGGGTCTCGAACGGAGATAAACCCAAACTGCGCCTTTGGACTCCCGTTTGAACGGCCGCCGCGGGTGTTCGTAACGAAAAAGCAGTGAAATCTCATAACAACGAGTCTCGCACGACCGGCCGAACTCGTTCGTTGTAATGAGAACTCGACATAATGGAAGTTCCTAGACGAGGACTCCACGGCTTTCCAGCCGAACAGAGCTTTGCCTTTGGATCGTTATGATGAAATCTCTATAACGGTGGTCGTCGTAACGAGATTTCACAGTAATCGCCAACATGATATCAAAGCGGGGGTCAGGGCGCCTACCGGAAGGGCTCCCTTTCGGATATTTGCGATAAGGATCCATAATAATGAAAATTGAGGTAGTCGTCAAGCTGATGATCGGATTCGATCTTGATAACAATCTCTTCGCGCGACCTGAGCCGTTCGGCAAGCCTGTCTCATCTTAGCCGCCGTCAGTGCCACGGCAGCGCCAGTGGTCGACCCAGAAAGCAACTGAGCAGCAGCGGTGTTGTCGACTGCGAAGATCCATTGTTTGGCTGCTTGATTTGCTCGTTGTTGGAAACATGCTTGCTTCCTTTCTTGCTTGCCGATGAAAGGCTCTAACGAAATCCTGAAGTGCAGAACAAGCGGCAGCGTAGCCTGACTCCACTTCGAGTTGGTCGTTGGTTGTCAAGGGCCGTTGCTGCGGCGACAACGAGGGCAACGGATGCTGTTTTGTCTGCTCCGTCGATTTTGATTGCCAATTACAACGTCTACATCACTCCCTCCCTTCCGTTGTTTTAGTCGGAGTTTTCGTCTGTCCGCTTTCTCCGTTTTTCCCCCTGCAGTTTCCTACATCGATATCGACTATCGTCGGAATAAAACCGGAAACGATTTCTGCGTTTGTCACTCTCCTCTCGCCAGTTGCCCGTTGATACGGCACAGACACACGAGCGGTTTATCTAGAAGTCAGCTGCCGCCGTGTAGCTCAATCCAGATAGATGTGTTGCTCCCCATGAAGCAGTGCTGCATTCACGACGACGACCCTTCGTCCGCGCACGTCCGTTGAGCCTTAGGTTCCGAAGGCTTCCAAGCAGCATCTCTTGGCGTATTTACCTGCGGGGGTGTTTCGCAAGATTTAGAACGCCGACGGAGTCAATCGCAATGATATTCCATGGAGATATACAATGGCCCGATTTACGGTTTGACGGGGAGAATTCTACGGCCGGCGGAAGCGGAGTGCTGATGAGGCGGGCATCCGTCATCACAAGAGAATTAATCGAATGAACCCCCACCAAATAATTCAAACCTTCCTGAAACTGACAAATGAAGAATCGAGCCGTAGACTGGGCTGTAAGAAATTGATGGATGAGAAGGGCTACCACGTCGGCGTCGGAGCAAGAACGACGATCACAACATCAACAACCGCGGCGCAGCAACGGCGACAGCAACCCACTGACCCGGTTTCCAGAAAGCCACCACGATGATCATCTGCCTCCGCTAGCTCCTCTTCTTCGTCATTCTTTTCCTTCGTCTGCTCTCGCACGAAACTGTCAGAGCGGCCCTAACGATGCGAGCGAACATTGAATGAAACGCTAGCCGCCGCTGCTGCCCATGGAAAACGAGCGTTCTTCCAAGGTCACTCGAACTCGTGGAAAGAAAAAAAATGAAACACGGGTCCGCAAGTTTGGAGCACAGCCCACCTTCTTCCAAAATCCACTTGATGGAATGTCTGCAATCGATCGATGAATGATCGTAGATTCCACCGACCCGCGGGAAGATGCCCAACGGAGAAGAAAACGATTCTCTTGGAGAACGACCAAAACGAACGACTCCATGTTCCTGTTCATGTGGAGGAAGCGATATTCATGGATGATCGTCTGGTCCGAGCTTCGGCCGGTGGATGGTCTTGTATGTATATGACGCGAGGAAAATTCACGTTCTGAGAGAGGAGGCTCGAG